CACCTCTTATTCGCACCGAACCGGCACGTGTCGGTCTGTCTATGTCAGATATCTGGCCTTAAAGCCTGTAGTAGTAAAAGGAAGGTCTTGGGTGCGGCGTTATTTATTAGGAAATGCCAACTGAACATTTACAGACTATTGGACAGGGAAGCAAAACTCTCATATGCATCTTGTTTACAAAAACCTCACAAGTCCTGTCGCTCCTAAAACGGATTTTTGGTCATTTCACTCGACTGGCACTGCCCCGAGTAATCAATATCTACATCCGACCAACCATGGAATACGCTATACAAGCTTGGTCACCATGGCTTCAAAAAGACAATTCCTCTACAGCGAATATATCATCGAGCCACGAAGCTGGTAATTGGATTGCAAAATAAACCATACGAAGACAGGATTGCCAGTCTCAACCTATTTGACTTCTACTATCGGCGCATCAGGGGAGACCTAATTCTAACATATAATATACTGAAGACACCTAATCATCCGCTGGAAGACCCTTTTGTCCGACGTCGAACACGAACGGGCAGGAGGCATGACTTTTCGCTCGCGGTACCTCACTCGAGGGTGAACTGTCGACGGAACTTTTTTGCGGTCCGCGTATGTTTCATTTGGAACTCCCTACCTCCTAATGTTGTACATTCGCCGAGTTTAACCATTTTCAAGAACAATTTAGATGCACATCTTATGTCCAAACCGAATCTGGAACTATTTAACTCCATGTGATACTCAGCAAACATTACGCATATTTCTGCGTCCCTTTGTGTATATACGTTCACCCTATGGTCCTTGTAAATTTAATTGCTTTTAGACCATTAAACCTTGAATTAACCTTGAATTAAAAAAAATGAATCCATATTCTCTTTGAACGCTTCTTCCTGAACTATCCAGATATTCATTGACTGTTGCTCAAATCCAAGCAAACGCTACAAAGCGACCCCACAACTTCCATAATAGATCTCACTGTTCAAGAGATGCAAAGCGGATTTACGAGAAAACATACTACTTGGATGCCTCCCCCATCAGTAATATCACAGTTACAATAGTAGCGATCAGTCTGAATTTCTTGTCTTCTGATTGGTCCACTCCTGAACACGGACCACCCGCGGCGGCTCAGTGTTTGGACAAAAACTCGGTGTAATACTGTCCTACTGTTTCATTATAATCCAACCAAACTCACTATCCCAAACGATGCAGATTAAGAGTACACGAAGTAAAGGAAGTCCAATTGGGTACTCGCACGTGATTGGCAGGAAAGCGGACAGTCAATTTCTTGTATTTTCATTTGAATACTTCCTATCTAGTCGTCATTCATTTCTAGTAAGTTTTGAGCATAATAGTGTGTTCATTAAACAAGTATCTCATAGTGTGTTGACATTTAGCCAGATGGGGATCACAGAAAAGTTACCAGGCCCCATAAGGTAAATGAACAGAAAACAGCTTAGGGTAACTTAATTTTACTTGAAACGTGCACATGAATACTAAGACGATCGATGAGCAGATATACTATGTGCACTCGCCGCATGCGCTGTTGGTTTTTATAAATTTTCCCGGAAGAGTTTTGAACTCTCTACTTGTCTGACTGTTTCAACTCCTGCGACAGTAAAGTACTCACAATTAGCGTGGATAACTCAGCGCCAATCTCTCTTTTATTGATCATATGCAGTGCTAGCCGAAGGTGGCCCTGCCTCCGTTCGAAAAGGGATCCAGCAACAACATATGCGAATCCTTGAAAAGACTGTTTTGTCGATATGTTTTTATCTCGTTTCGTATTGATGTCGGATCTGACAGAATCGAAATTCTATACCGATACGGCTAGGAACTAGTGTTTCCTTGAGGACGTACGGTGGGTTATATGTACCCTCCTATCTGCTGGGGTCTACACTCCTGTGGCTTTTGCGCACAAGCACCACCTGTCTGATTCTCCTGCGACGGTATGACACAGTAGTATTGCCATCCATGAAGACATGTAGACCTCTGTTCTGCTCGTACAGTTTGTTCGTCTCAGTCAACCAAGAGATGTCGGTTCACTTTGCGAAGTTCATATCGAAAACCCGGAAGTTAAGGTATATTTTATCATGCCCTATGATGGTTTCTGTGGGCTTCAGCACAACAGCCATGAGTTCTTTTTTCTCAACTGATTTTCACTTAATTTTAGTCTGTTTCAAACATGGTGTTTGTGCCAAGCACCACCGTTTTTTAGTCTCATATTTTATGGGTTTATCGGATGTATATTGACGGGAATGAGGGGAACAACCGTGAGCAACTAGCCTTTTGTTTGACTTTGGACCCGTAAACTCTCCTTCCATTCGGTCAACGTATTGCGCACGATGACCAACCCTTCTCGCCAGTGACGTCGAAATGAACTGAATCGGATCACATGCGAAAATGTCCATGTGACAGTCGAAAGAATACTGGAAATGTCCACTTCTAAATCTCGAAGACTTTCAGTTGATTCGGTTTTAGATTCGAGGATCGGCACTTTTGTGGACGCGTGTAAGTGTGTCATATATGTTTACTCCTACTATACTCCAGACAGTCGCCTTCTTTCTATGTTCAGGTAAAGTCACCAGGAGGGACGACGGAGTAAATAATTCAGACTTCGACTTGATATCCCTCTTCCATCTGCGTTTGAATACAACCTATGCGCCGTTGTTACTTCAAAGTACCACAGTTAAGTATTCACTTACCTGAGGGCGATGAATGTTATCTGGTCCTTTTTCGACATATCAAACTGATCAATCTAATACTATTCACACTTTTATTAAACCTGAAATCCCAACTCAGCGTTGCACAGTGCTCGAAATCGATCATTAGACGGGGAAATATTCATAAAACCCAGTGCAATTTGAGGGTCATTCACCTGCCAGTGGTCTGGGAGTTGGGATTTCCGGCCCAAATGAAATTACCGGACGGAAACTTCTAGTTCAGATAACAACTTTACCTAATTCTCTGATGTGCTTTTCCTTGTATCATTCAAGGATATAACATAGTGAATAGGTGAAAAGCGATTGGATTCCACAAACAAGCAGCACATTCGTCCATGACTTTGACGCATCGAAGTACTGATCCTCGTTTGATAATTTACAACATTGTTTAAAATACACAAATGCACTGTACTCTACGTCATCTTGAAAACTGTGCTTATGATGACTTTCTAATAGTCTGAAGCGTTCGCATCGATTAAAAAGGATTAAATTCCGAAGAATTATGAAGCATCTTGAACACTGCCTCGTCTCGATGCAAAATTAGGGGAACAAAGCAGCATAATAGACGTATGGACAGGCGCAGATACAGGGACGATAAACTGACGGTATATCCGTTTCTTGAAAAAAGTGCAGGGAGGGTCGACCAAGTTATGCTTCTGTGAGAAAGGGTTTCTTTTAAAAGTCACAAGCTCCAACGCTTCCAGAGTCAGAAATTTCGCAAAGCCGCTGTAGAAACCGAGTGAAGATTGGGACTTGTCCTGTTAGTACATGAGACATGAAAACGGAAACGGCGCTCCCATCATACTAGAGCTCTTTAAAAGGCTCGTATAGAGGAGGGAAGAATGGCTTTACACGTGCATTGAGTTGCGCTGATACAGAGTCGTATTTTAGGGAGCCAGTCGTTACAGGGAGAGTCGCTCGACGGAAAGTGTCAGGACGCGCCCAGACATGGAAAAAGTACATGTACAGAGAGTGACACATCCCCAAGGTCACCATCGGTACGACACGTCCGGAAGTCACGTGCGTTGGCGAGCTCACCAAACACGGCTTAGCAACTTACGGCCAGCGGAGTGGTCCTGAAAGTGTTCACGACCGGAACACCGCCATTGGCTGTACAGAACGAACAAGTGAACGACCATATTTGGCCATTTAGTCATCCTATATATTTGCGCAGAAGTTCTGTACGTTTTGTCCTGACAATACACCAGTGTCCCGAGTTCTCCGTCTTTTCCTTATTGCGTTATCTGGCAAGCTCAGTGCAGGCGTAACCAATAGGCGGCCACCCACGATAAAATAGAAATGGTACAGGCTTTTAAACATGGGAGAAGGGTAGGAGGGAAACATGTCATCCACAAGACCATTTTCTGCGCTGAACACATCTGATACTTACATTTGACTATTCCACGTGTGTCGTTGGACTGATGAGTTTTTTACCAATATATTTGTTTTACTTATCGTAGTGAAAAAGGATCATGACAGAACGTGAGACATTTCAGAGCACTACCATGCAACATTGACAGAAATAACGTATCAGAATTGCTGTGGGATTGCTTTGTACGTACAATGCGGTCCAGTTGAATTCCGATTTTTAGCCGTGAACCTTCGGCATGATGGTTCATCATGCGCATGCACACTGCTCTAAATAAATTTCTGTGCATACAGAAACAATACATAGATCACTGCACTCTGAAAGTCATTTGCCGAAGTATTCCCCTGTTTTGACGTAATTTTAATTATGTTACTGCGTAAACAAAGGCAGTGTTCAAACTCGGTAAAGTGGGTTGTCTTCGATCTCAAAACATTGCTATTTAAAGGCTTTATCGCCTTTGAATTCGATGCAAATTTAGGACCTGAGGAGAGTATTGTACAGTGAAACATTTTTGAGCTCAAGTGAAACACAGAAACAGGCAAGTAAATGACGATCTTTCAAAATTTTACACAAGGAATTCTCATAAAGGAAAATACGCACAAAGTTTCTGAGTTTCGTGAGATGCGCATTGCTACTGATTCTCAATAAAGATGGGACAGCTCGGTTTTTCACCATTGAATGGCTTCACTGACAGAACGAAGTGACAGTTGAAAGTTACCCACTCTCCTCACTCTACCATCAGTAATTAAAAAGTCATCGCCAACCAATACCTATGACAACTAACAGCTATTCACGAAATCCGAAAATCGGGAAGCCAGTAATATAATTTTACTGAAGTAAAACGTCACATGATCTGCACCAGTCAGTATTGATCATTCCCACCTGGAGATCAATAGACCTGTTGTCCGTATTGGCTATACGTCATGCGAATGCTAGACGTTGGGAATACATTTATTCTTTTGGTTTGTATTTTTACACGGGTTGATGCTGCACAAACAACGGAACATTTGGAATTGGAGGATCCCCGTCCAACTGAGGCACCACCATTTGACCCAAAGAGGGATAACTTCACACTGGCTGGTCTGAATGCAAAGAAATGGGAAGGGCCTTACTACCAAGAAGCCATGTTGGGCAGTGTGATTTACCTTCCATGTGCGCTTACTCCGCAAATGACCAGCAGACTGTATCGACAACGAAAAATGGCTGCGCAAGAAAGTTACTATTGGTCAATTGTATGGGCCCATCAAAACTGGGACACAGTCGTCGATCCATGGCTTGGCGATGGACGAAGAAGCTATGATATACTTCAGGTGGTGCCTTACTGGAAACCTGATATGAATGTTCAGCTGGAGCAGGCTCGTTTGACCATTCTGGATGCAAACCCAACGGATAACGGAATATATGCCTGTGTAGTTGCTATGTATCCACCAGAAAAAGGGTTATCTCCTGTCATCCTATCGCAAGCAGATTTGGTGAGTATACACTTTCTGCGCATCAAGTCGGCATACACAATGGGACCGGATTGTAAGGATAAGGATCCGGAAGAAAACGTCTACTGTCAAACTGGTTTCGAAGCATGGACGGAAAACGTCTTTTATCCATCCGGCTGGGCAAAAGGAGATGTACTGTTTCAGCGTAAGTAGCATATTGGTCCGATTTCACGTGCCAAGAAATAGTGTTTGAATTTTGAACTTGTCGAATTTGCAATCGTCCAACGCAAGTTTTTGACCACAATAAGCTTGTAACAACTCAAGTCTAGGCATGGTGATTTCACTGAGACGCTATCCACCATCAGTTCAAGATGAAAGCTAACAGCTGTATTTAGGCCTATCATTTTTCTGGTAAACAGGTCACTGGCAGCCTCCACACGGATACCCTCTTAGCTACATGTAGTAACTTTTATTTCAGAGGCTCCCACATCTTAAGGCCTAACAGCGGCAAGCATCTGACTGCGAAGGCGCCGTTGTCGAGAACGAATTGCGCAATTTCAAACACTTGCGCAGAGTGAAAAGGGTATGGTGCAAAATGTTGGTCCAAACCTGACTTCAGTCATACAGCATTCATCATTCACCTCACAACATATACGCAGTTTACAACTGGGAATGATGATTCACTGGCAGTCATAATTCGACGCGTAAGACAAACCAACAAAAACGCTGTATACAGAATTAAGGTTAGTGACCGCTTGATTTGTGAACTTTAGAACCGAATATGAGGCATTAGAAGCAGGCAACATCTACCTAAAGAGTCCTAATCAGATCGAAACACGTAGTGGGCTGCTTTCTAAACACGGGTCACTTCTGGCTGACAAGAGATGTGAATTCAAAATTGGGACTACCTATCTGATACGACCGACTTTTCCCTACATTTTTTCCATAATTTAGTAGCCTGAAGTAGGAAATAGAGGGAAATTATGCGTGCCGATTTGAACAGGTCATTCAAGCTGTTATATTTTCCAATCTGAGACAAACTGATTCGTACTCATTGTACTTGTTACTTTCGTACGCGCTATCCACAAAGCTTCCCATCACCATTGGGACTTACTACTACTGCATCTGGCGAAGTTCATCCGGCTGTCACTCGGGTCCAGTGCACCGATTTAATTCCTATTCTATAAGGGCGAATTTCAACAGACAAAGAGAATTCAAAGCAGAGTTACCATGGCATCATAATGCAGAGCGGTCTTGAGCTAGGTTAGTTTACCCTCAAACATAACCGCACTGGTGTTGAAAAATCTTCCCGCGGCGTAGTCAATATTTCAATCTGGCGAAGATAACTCACACAAGAGACATCCTTCCAAGCAGCAGCAACCCAGAGTGAAAAAATACAGCATCGATTTCCTGTTCGTCCTTTAGGTTAGTTGATAGCCTTCTGAACAGTGGCGTCGTGACACCTGCTGTTGAGGTGTTTTAAGGTAAACTGGATGAACACTGACCTAGATGTGTGACCTAAGCCTTAGTTCCGGTCCCTTTTTTCCCTACCCAAGGATACCAACGG